TTTTGCTAAGCTTGTTCTAAGTAGGTGCTTTAGACCACTGAGCCATCTCTCCAGCCCTTTTTTTTTTTTAAAAAAAATTTTTATTTATTTATTAGCTCACTGTCTTTAAATAAAAACATTAATTCTCTGATAGGTAGATTACCAACCCTACATACTAATAATTGCTAATTATATCATTTTATATAGTTCTGAGCTACAAGAGAAAGTGTTACTAATTAGCTTAATAAGAGATGGTCATCACTTACCAAGATTTTCAAAAACCAAATCCCAACTTTCACAACTTTCATCCCCAGACAAACACATCAGCAGACCTTTACACACCTGCGTCTCTCCCTGACCTCTGACGTAGAGAGGACAGTGCCAGCAGTAGTTGTAGTCAGGGTTGTAGTAGGAGCTGCAGCATTTACAACAGTTGGTGCAACAGGAATGGTCACTGCCGTAGGAACACTGTCCTTTTCTTTTTCAGTACTATCCTCAGCCCACAAACGATTTGAGGTACTATAGCACCATAAGCAGCAACACAAAAAGAGAAAAGGAAAATAGCTAAACAATGAAAGCACTTTGTAGCGGCTGAAAACATGTGACTATAGGGATGGATTTTTTAAAAACACATGAGACATCTTTCAACTATAAAACCAACAGCTCACCCAGAGCTGTTCAGACAAGAATTTACATTGTAAGCAGTCTAATTCAGGAACTTAATTTTTTTCCCCAGACATGCATAACTGCGTCATTTTGGAACCAATTTTGTTTGGAAATAACTTTAATAAGGTAAATGAAAAAATCCAGAGCCCCACAATCTTCTAAACAAAGATGCATGCACATACATAAGCACACAGTAGACCTGAACACAAAGTGCATCTATGACTTACCTGCTCTGTGTGCCTGCTGAGGAAGAACCCGTGGTAATCTTTGTAGTAGTGCTTGTGCTGGAAAGCAGGCTTTTCTGAAGCCCAGCTGCAGAGGTAACTGTTGGTGTTGATGTGGTGCTTGGAACACTAGAACTAATCAAATCATCTTGTCTTCTACCAAAGGAGCAACTAAAGGAAAGAGTCATATCTATATAGAATGTGTCTGTATGTATATTTTATATTTAATGTCTTATATATTATACAAATTCACAAGACTAGGGGAAAAAAAGTCTAGGATATTGTGTTCCCAAATATACCACCAGCTCCAGCACCAAGAGTTGCATCTACAACTTGCTAGAGTTTGGATGACTTAGCTAATTTGGCTGTGTCTCATTTTATTGTCTCCTCCCCATTCCCTCAATGAAACTCAAATATGATTTAATTTAGTATTTCATATTTGAGAATATTCTAGGATCATGTGTATCAGGCTGATTGTAAAAAACAAAAACAAAAAATAGAAAACCCCACTTTGGTTTAGTTTTATCCAGGAAAGTAGACCTTTAACATTTTTTGAGGAAAATTTTTTAGCAATGGGTCAGGTAACTAAGATGCAACTGCCCATAGCTTATTCTTCTTTTCAGTTGTTTCCTGCAGAGAACTAGCTCCACCCCACCATATAGTAAAATATTCAACTGAAGGAGTTCTAGGACAAGCAGAAAGCTTCTAGACGAAACAGGATGACTAGACCAAGTAAGATACTAATTTATTTCAGCTGCTCTAGTCATCATATAACACATTCCTTTAAAATATACTAAAAAAGGGCTCATATCAATTTGCATATAGTATAACAGAAATGTATGAGCAAAATCATTACCCACCTTTAAATATACATTGTGTTTATTCAAATCAAATTTTACTTAAAGAACAGAAGATACAATATTTAACCAAGGTACCTATCTGCCTAACTGATGTTAAATTGAGGGCGTCAGACATGCTGCCTCACATTATGAAGTAATCCATAAAAACCACTTCAAAGTATATTATTACCTTTTATGATAAGTTGATCCTTCATTAATGGAGCTATTTTTTTTAAGATCATCTTCCCATTTTCTTCTTGTGTAAGAACTACTTGTTCGTAAACTTGAAGTGTCTCTGTGAAAAGAACACAGTAGGTAATTTCAAAATGTGACTAGTAGTTTTGAAACAGGGTTAAGAAAGCTGCACACTAACAAAATATTAGGAGTAGAAACCAGTAAAATCTTGTAGGAAAATGCTTTGGGTATTTATCAAAAAGGGAACATAATTCTAGTTCTACAATTTTATTCCCAAAAGCCTAATATATATAGGGGCAAGGTTAAAATGTTTATAAAAATACTATTTAAAATAAACAAAAATACTACACAACATGCCATAAAATCAGGGGTGTCACTTACATCTCAGCAGATCTTTTCAGGGGTCTATTACGTACTGATGAAAAACAATGCTTATTCAAAATATGTATTAACATATATACTGCTTAAGAGATGTTATAGGAAAAAAGATCAAAAATTCTCAAACTCTATGTGCAGAAAAATCAGAAGAAACCACCAAAAATACAGACACTGATTAAGTATGGGCTTTCTTTTCCTTTTCTAAATGTTGGAAATGTTTAGAGAACTTGTACTAGTCTGTGGCTTCTTTTATGACTTCTCAATTTTATGAACATACTAAGCCTGTATGCAGGATCACGTACCTGGTTCTCTCCCACATATCTCCAATTCTTATGTGTTGCGTCTGTTGCTAAATAATAAATACTGTACAGTAAATGCACAAAGCAATCTTCACTCACCTGTTTTCTTTTTCCTCGATGTCAGATGTACTAGCTAATCGTCGTGGTATTGTAGGTGCAACATATGCAAGCCGTGTACCTTTACTATCTCTCTCCTGTACAAAAGGAAAATAATGAATGAAAATAACACTAGGGGATGATTTTTAAGTACTGCTGAAATATTAGCAAAGGAGACTCAACACCATATGATTATAAAGCCAATAAATGTATATTTCCACAGTGCCTTGCAAAACTCTACCAATAATCAGTAGCACAAGCACAAAAGAATAGTCTTTTCAAACTAATTTGTTTCATTCTCCTTAAATCTAGAAATAGAAAATAATTTTACATAAAGAAGAAAATTTTTCTTTTTCTTTTTTTTTGGGGGGGGCAGAACCAGATATTGAACTCAGGTCCTTGAGCTTGCCAGAGAAGCACTTATTCTACTGAACCATCTCCTCAGCCCCTGAAAATTTTTCTTACATATTAGTGAAATTTTCTGAAATAGATTAAAGTACTGTCATAAATCAGAACACTCATTTTCTTCAGAGAAATAAGGTCCCACATAAGGTTGAGAAGTCACAATCATTATCCAAGCTATTCATAACCATGACAATCTAGGCTTTCAAATATATTAAGTATTCAAAATAAGTATTATCTAAGCTATATTTTTAAAATTTTTAATTAGCACGTTTATAATACATAATAATTATATTTCTTGTGGGGAGCTGGGAAATGTATATATCTTAATTCTTACTTTTATTCTTTCTCTCTTCCTCATTTCTTGGTCCTCCTGTTACAAAAGATCTATTTCCCTCTTCCTGTTATCTAACTTGTATTTTGCTCTTTATTTTAGGTTCCTCATATGAAAGGTCACTTCCAAAATTCAGCTATCATGCATTGTGCTGCTATAAACAAAGGTACAAGGTACCACTGTAATATGTCTTTAATGAGAAAGAATAGCTGGGTTGAATAGAATTTTTACTTTTAGTTCTTGAGAAATCTCCAGTGATTTTATTAGTTTAGATTCCTGTAACAATGTAGAAGGCTTATTCCTTACTTGATTTCTTGATAAGCCTTTCTTTCCTGAAGGTAGAATTTTTGTTTTAATTTGCACTTGATCTTTGATAAAGAGGCCAAACAAAACATGCTATAAGAAAGATAGCCTCTTTAAAAAAGTGTTTGATAATACACAATCTATTAATTATTGTAACTGTCCCACTAACCTGTTCCGAAACTCATTGTTATTTCTTTCTTAATAAAATTAATTAAAAAAATAAACAGTGCCAGAAAAACTAATTATTTACATGTAGAAGACTGAAACCATTTTCATATTTCTTACTATGTGTTAAATTAAAATTAAAATAGATAAAAGATTTAAATGTTAAAACAGAAATAAACTACTGGAAGATAAAAATGACAAAATTTTTGAAAACAGTATAGGCAAGGACTTTCTGCATAGAACCTCAATAGCACAGGAAATAACATTAAAAAAAATGAACACATAAGGTATCAAAAAGTTGCAGAGCAAAGGAACCAACAACAGAGTGAAATGACAGCTAACAGAAATTGAGGGTTTTTTTTTTGCCAGCTGCTATGCCTTGGTGAGGAGTAATACTGAGAATACAGAAATAATTTTTTTTTAAAAATGGAGATGTCTCCACAATAAAAGACCCAATCAAAAATGAGCAAAGGAAACAAAACACTCCTCAGCGAAAAATGGCCAATTAATACATGAAAAAATGTGTAGTAGCTAAGGTATATTTATTCAAATATGGCTGACAATGAGTGGACACAGTGACCTAGATCATTCCTGATAAACTGTCATAAAAATACCTAAAAGACTGGACAATAAATTTATAAAAAGCACAACACTAAAGTTACAATATGTTAAATATTCAATGAAGTATTATCTAAGCTACATTTTTTCAATTTTTATTTTTTATTAGTACAGTTTGCTGTACATAATGATTACATTCCTTGTGGGGAGCTGGTAAATATATGTAACATATCTTAATTCTTTTATTCCTTTCCTCTCCCTCTCATTTCTTGGTCCTCCTATTATAAAAGATTTATCTCTCTCCTATTACCTAAAGTGTATAAATTCATTTTTTAATGTATATTTATTTACTGTTTTTTAAAATAATTTTATTGAGAAATAAATAGCAATGAGACAGCTTCAAAACTGATTAGTAGGACAGTTTTTAATAATTAATACATTTCATACTGTTGTTTAGTGGTTATTCATTGTACAAGATGCAAACATGATATCTTGTCCACAAACACTATTAAAACAAATCTTTCTATTCATTGAATTAAGAGAATGTAGCTATATATCTATCCTATTTTGAATATATAAAGTGTATATATTTATATAAAAAAGCACAGTATCAAAATTAACTGATGAGGGCCAGCCAAATAGCTCAGTGGATTAAAGCACCTGCAAGCAGGCACAGAGGCTGAGGGTTCCCCCGAGCCTGCTGTGCTAGCCCTACACCAGGGGCACACTGAGATGGCAACTGAGACTGGGTATGGCGGTGCATGCCTGTAATACCAGCTCTTGGGAGGCTGTAAACAGGTAGATCACTATGAGTCTGATCTAGCAGTGAGACCTTGAATACTGTAGACCTTTCCCTAAAATACAAAAAAAAAAAAAAAAAAAAAAGAAAAGAAAGAAAAAAATCCACCAAAATTAACTGACAAGATTCCATCTCTCAATTTCTGATATGAGGAATCATTCTTCAAGAAAGAAAATTATACAAAGAAAAGGTTTTGCTACACCGGCCTTGCACCTGGGCACAATGAGCCAGCCACTATGACTGGGCATGGTGGCGTATGCCTGTAATCCCAACGCTGAGGAGGCTGAAAACAGGAGGATCACTAAGAGTCCAAGCTGCATAGTGAGACCCTGCACCAAATACATTAAAGAAAAGAAAAAGTTCAAGTATAGGAAATGTAGTATTAAAAAAAAGAACAAATAGCACTGGGTAAACTGTGATGTAGCTATTTGATATGATACTAATTTTTTAAAAGGTTTTTTGGTGGTAGTATTAGGGATTTAATCAGGGGTCTTTGCACTAAGCTACATCTTCAGCTCTTACTTACTTTTTTCTTTTGCACGATGGCTTCACTAAGTAGCCCAAGTTGGGCTCCAACTTGTGATCCTCTGCCTTAGCCTCCTAGAATGCAAGGCTCACAGGTGTGTGTGCCTCCACATCTGGCTAATACTGCTTTCAAATTACAATTAAAACTGCTCATTAGGTATAAGTTACTTGTAATGTATTAAAAGCTTGGTAACAAAACTGCAAATATTGTATGAATGTAACTTGTAAGTATACTGTGAAAAAAATCTGTTTCTAAACGTTGGAAAACTTACGGAATTTTCGGAAGTGAAACATGCCTAATTTACTCTATATAGTTCTTCATGTAGGATCTTTTAACCTGAGTACATACTATGCTTCGGGCAAATAATCGGATCTTATCACATGTAAATATATCCATGGTAGGTACACCGTGTATTATAAAATTTATGAAGTCAAGTGAGTTAAGTTGCTACCTAAAGTCTAAAGATTCAATAACATTAATAAAAAAATAAAGTCTAAAGGTACCTAATTAAAAATAAATCAGATTTGACATTCCTGGAAAAGAAATTATTGCATGTTTATAAAAACTAGATTGTAAAATACATTACCTTTTCTTTATTATCCAAAGAGGAGGAAAGCCTGGGACTTGAAGCTGAACGTATAACCCCTGAAGTGTCCTTTTCCTTCTGAGCTTCTTTAGATGCTGTGATTTCAGCAAGTGCGCCATAACTGCCAGTCTTTCTGAGTCCTAGCCTCCAAGAGGCAGGAGACTCATCTTTTCTCTCTTCTTCTTTGGGAGAAATTTTTGTAGTTGATGCAGGAAACTTTATTTTTTTTAAAGAAAAAAGAATTAACAAAATTGATCAGTCCTTAATTTGGAAATGATACGGTTCTGAAGATAAGGTCTAAACTTTATAGTTAATAGTTTCAGAAAAAAACAAAAAACCTTACTAATTAGGTTAATGTCTTAGTCAGAAATGTAAATCTAAAACTGAAAGAAGAGACTATCTTTCCAGAGGTTAGATTAAAAAAAACACACTACATACTTTGTATCACACAGAAAAATTATGATGCACATACGAAAACAGCACACTGTAAGGACTTAAAACCATGCATCTCCGGAATCAATATTTATATTAACTGGTTATGTCGTAACCTAATACAAATTCTCGCACGTAGAAATGCCTCACCATAGGTCTTTCACCCTTACTGGGCACAAGAACAATGCCAGTTTTGCGCAAGCCCTGCCTCCATGATGCGGGATCTACAGATTCCACCACAGGCATGAGAGGAGCAATGAAATCATACTGAAGCCAATTAAAATAAGACAGGTGAAAAGACAGAAGATTGAAAGTATGACAATAAAACAGGAAGGTTAAGAGCAAAGAATACTTTTTTCTTTTAAAAAATTTCATAAAGAATTAAAGCTGAAATCTAGTCTTTGAAAATCACAAGGAACAAACCTAGATTTAGCATGAAATAATATGAAATAATCTAACAAGAAACTTCAATTGCAGTAAAAGGCACACGGAGCAGATACTACAGTTGATGAGTGAGGAAACAAACTATCACATGCAAATTTTGCTTTTTATCTATGTGTATATTCTCCATAAAAATTTTAAACCTAAGATAATAAATACTCTTAATAACATATTTTTATCACACATATAAATTTAATAACATTTTACAATATCACTTAAGCTTACTGCCTGATTTTCTCACTACAATTAGACATTTCAATTAAAAATTATTTTTAAGGTACAAATGATTATTCCATTTCTAGGGCTTTCCACTCACTGTATTTTTTCCTTGAATAAATCTTCAATTATTTTACATAATTTGACCTCCAGAATGTAAATGTTCAACTACAGTTAAATATGGACATTAAGCATGGGGTATGGATATTTTTTCTAAAGGGAAAAAAACCCTGTCATATTTATGTTCATAGTGCTCTTTAATTAGCAGATCAATAGATTTCTGTTAAAGTTCTCATGATGCTAGAGAACCACTTCATAAAACTTACAAAACAGCTCTGGTCCTTCTAGTAATTAATTTGTGTCAACATACTCTATGCATCCATCAGTTCCCAAAAGGTTGACCAAAATATGCAGGGTGTCGTAATAAAAATCACAGGAGCTTTGAGGGATAGTTTAAGTTTTGAGAAATGCAGTGACATCTTATGCACACTACACAAACTACCACTACGAATTTATTTGCATCTAATTACTTTTAAAAAAAGGAAGGAAGGCAGGACGGAAGGAGGAAGGGAGGGAGAGGCAGGAAAGAAGGGAGAGAATGAGGATAGGAAGAAAGGAAAGGAAAACAATTGGTACTACAAAAAAAAAAAAAAAAAAAAAAGCTACTGAGAGAGTAGGGGCTCAACCAAAAAAAGGTAGAGATCTCCATAATACTGTATGCAATCTGATAGGTATGGAGGTAAATTACTTACTGATTTCTAAGTTTCAAAGCCTACACTATACATTTTAGGCTCTGCAGACCACAGGTAACACGTAAGTGAATGCAGTCATGTTTCAATAAAAACTTAAATTAGAAACAATGAAATGTGAACTTGTGTCCCCAAACAGCTGATCACTTCAAACTGTGAAGGCCATTCTTAGCTTGTGGGCTACACAAACACAAGGCCCAAGAGCCAGTTTGCTAATTCCTGTTCCACATCTTTCTTCCCTCAAAAAATTGCCAGCAAATGTTTTACTTCTACAAAACCAAAAAAGACAACATATCATATAACATCCAATTACTGCTACATTTTCACCTAATATTTAATAAACATTTACCATTAGCTGGCTCTAACTTAAAGTGTTTCACATGAGTTGTTTTACCTAAACCAACAACTATTCAAAGAAATATTATTATTGTCACTTTTAGAGTTGACAAGAGGCAGGCATACTGGTACATGCCTGTAATTCCAGTGCTTGGCAGCCTGAGGCTGAAGGATTGCCACGAGTTCGAGGCCAGCTTGGGTTACATACTAAGTTCAAGGCCAGTCTGAATTACATAGCAGTTTTATTCTAAACATGTTGAGTTTTCATTTCTAAGACTGTGCAGTTAAATAGAAATTCAGGACTGGAATTTAGGAGTCAGGCTGCACTGGAGAATAACAAATCAGAGAATGGGTGGAATGAAATTAATATTTAGATTGGAGCCACTATCCCCAATCCTGAGTAGAAAAAAGTAGAAAGAGAAAATAAGGGATCTGAATAGCAAGACCCTGTCTCTAAAAAACCAAAACCAAACAAAAAACCCCCTAACCCTTTCCAACCCCGGAAACCAAAAAACAAAATAGAGGTAACAAAACTGAAGCAACAATAACCATTTTGAAATGGGTATTTGTTGTGCAGTAAAGGCTTATATACCTCCAGTCTGCCTAACATGAATCTAGATGTAACTACTGATTTTTATGTTTAAAAGCACCTCTAATTTTACCTTGGTGCGTTTAAAAAAAAACAAACAAACAACAAACCCATTCTGAAACACATAACCACTTCAAAGCTCTCCATTTATGGTAACAACTGGTTCGTTTTCCTATTCATGAATCAGAAGCACTCTGAGAGTCTGTGCTCCGATCTCTCATTTTCTATTTTTTTTCCACTCATCATTGGGAATAGGAACTCCAGTCTAAATATTAATTTTATTCAGCTTATTCTCTGATTTGCTATTCTCCAGTCCAGCCTGACCCCTAAATTCCAGTCCTGACTTTCTATTTAACTACACAATTTTAGAAATGGAAACTCAACATGTCTAAAATAAAATGTTTTTTACTATTAACTCTTCTCCATTCTCTATTTCTAGTAGAGGCACTAACATTATCTCTTTAATGTTCTATGTCTGAAACTTCACAGTCATGTTAAGAGACTTTTCTGTCACCTCCATCCATAAACTAGGTGCCAGAGAGTCCACACCTCCTCCTCCTCCCCTTTCTAAGCCAGTGGCTACTGCTTTCTACTCCTATCACTATTGGCAACTTCAAAGAATTTCTAAGAGGCCTCATCTCATCAGCTCTTCACCTTAAAATATATTTGCATACAGCTGCCAGAATATTTTATAAAGAATAGTTTTCTCATGACATTATTTAAATATTTTCTATGATTCTCCATGTTTCAAATAAATTATAAAAATGTCAGATATGAAAACATTCCACAATTATACTGATTTTTGTTTTACTTTGCATACACGTACCTTATAAATCAAATGTGACACTTTTTCCCCCACTAAATATTATTACTGCTTGCTCACATTATTTCTCTTCTCTATCTTTAAGCAAATTATAGACCCTTTCAGCTGCAGGAAGTGCTACTACCCATTCTTCAAAGTCTGTCTCAAGTATTGTTACTGTAAATGCAAATCAAAGTTTCCACTATTACATCATCATGCTACATGTGAACACTGTCACTGGTATACTTCACATACCCAGAGCACACCTAGCAGTCTTCTACTAAATTACTGTTCAGGTTATTAATCTGGCTTCAATTTTTTAGGACACAATTTCTACAATTCAGTAAAGAAAATTTAATTTATACTTCATTGGAAGGTATTCATACAACAGACCTTGTGATTTGTTTTATAGATCCTGGCACTTATTTTAATGAGATTTATATATGGTAGGTAACAATTTAAAGCATAAAATCAAACTTATGATCTTATATATAACATCTCCACAAATTACCAGCCTGTTATCACTGACATAGAAAAACTACTTTTAGTTCAAAATGGAAAAGATCATTTAAAACAAATTAATATATTTTGTTGTAATTATCTTATGTTATTAACAGAAAACAAGTGACATTTAACATCAGTGTTTTCTGAGTTTCCTTTTCATGAGCACTTACTTACACATAAACAGCGATACTTTGGCTCATGAAGGCTTTATGTTTGCAAACACTGCATTGGGTGACAAACATGAACATAGTCCTCTCTCCCACACTAACACAAAAGTGGTCTTCTTTTCCAGAAGTGTAAAATTAAGTTTGTGAACCAAGGCACTACTATATATATTTTATTACCTAGTGGAGGAACTTGGGATAACTGTGCAAATATTAAAAGCAGAGTAAGCCAGGCATGGTGGCACATACCCATAATCTCAGTACTTGGAAGGCTGAGGCGGGAGGATTGTTGCGAGTTCGAGACCAGCCTGGACTACACAGTGAGCTCAGGGCCAGCTTGAACTGCACAGTGAGACTCTGTCTCAAAAAGGCTAACAAAGTGTAGATTAGTGAATGGGAACCCAAAATTAGAATTGTTTAACTGCAAGATTTTTTATGACACATTAACAATTCAGTTAAGGAAATTTGTAACTGTTAATTCTCCAAAGTTCTAGGTAAAATCTTGACCAAACTTGTATCATTATAAAGAAGGGCTGGGGAGATAGCTCAGCAGCATAAGAGCATTCCTAGTAAGCGCAAGGTCCTGAGTTTGATCCCTGGTACCAAAAGAGTAGGTAAAAGAGTGCAAGTATCAATGGATGTAAGCACAAATTCTAAGTCATACAATACTGTTAAGACTCCCTCAACCACTAAACACTACACAAAGTTTTAGTAAATCACAGTTTTACTGCTCTCAGTAAAATTCAGATACAAAACCCAAGGAACAAAGACTAAAACAATATAATCTAAGTTATGATGCTTGGAACTGAGAATAAAATGGAGTTGCTAAGTGTGTAAACAACAGTAGCAGATGTCTCTCATTCAGTTTAATTACAGAATCAATCAAAAGTGCTGACTAAAAATTTTTTAATCATTCATTCATTCATTTTATATACAGCTTAGACTCATAGCGATCCTCTTGTCTCAGCCTCTCCAGAGTTGGGATTACAGGTGTGTGCCACCATGCCTGATTTCGGTAGCTGGTACACCCAGGGTTTTGGGGCCAGCAAGACACATGGTACTGGAGATAGAACCCGGGAACTTGTGCTTGCCAGGCAGGCACTTAGACTGCAGAACTAGCTCCCTTGACCGTGAGTAAAAATTTTTATACTCAAGATACTGTCCCACTAAGCTAATACAAGTATAAAATATTTATTTTAGTTAGGATACTAGGTATAGATGGGAGGAGTAAAGTGACATAAATCTGGGGCTATGCTTGAAGAAAAGAAACCTGAACATAAAAAGTCTATTGTAGCCATTGTACTTACTATCTGACAGGAGTAAGAAAGGGATTGCTCCCCCAAATACCAAAAAAGAAAGAGCCAGTTTCTTGCCCAGTTATACCAGTGATAAAACTTTGGGAAATAAGTTTATGGTCCTGACAGACAATAAATCAAAAGAAATAAAAGATGTAGGCATAGGTGGGCTGGAGAGATAGTTCAGCAGACTAAGTGCCTACTTAGGCAAGTGCAGGGATTTGGGTTCAATCCCTGGCACCACATGCCGTACTGGCCCCATCCCTGGGTGCACTGAGCCAGCCACCAAGATTGGGCATGGTGCTGCACAAGTGTAATCCCAGTACCGGGGAGGCTGAAAACAGGAGGACCACTGTGAGTCTGAGCTGTGTATTGAGACCCTATATCAAATACATTCAAAAAAAAAAAAAAAAAAGAAGATGCAGGCACAAATTTAGTTTTCACTAAATTAGAAGTACACAGAGGTCCTAGAACTACATTTTATTTAGTTCAACTTGGTTTAACTTTGGCAATACACAACTTTTGCATAACAGTTTTCAAAATTTGCAGACAAACTGCTTTTAGAGAATATCATCTTATAGCATTATTATGATCATGAAAATGGCTTACAAATGAAAATGGCTTTTCACTGAATTCAAAGCATTCTGGGTCTGAATATAGAAGAGAAAGTAACTCATTCATGACAATTTCCTGACATTTGAACTATATACCATTGAAACTCATACATTTCTATTCTCCTTGGGAAGAGTTTAGATGATTCTTATTACTAACATAATAGGCTGACATATAATTCTTAGTTTATTATTTCTAAAAGCTCTTCTTTGAGGATGACTGACAACAAATAGAGTGGAGATCTAAACTCATGTGCCCAAATACTACCAGGCAAGAAACAAGTAAGTCTAAAAGTACAGACATGACTACTCAACACAAAGTGTAATCTCTGAATGGACCCTCAGTTTGAAAAAACAAACAGCAAGAAAAGATCTTAGAAGAAGCACATTTGGGAAAATCTGACTATGAATATTAACACAGATAACAGTATTACATTACATTAAATTTTTTAAGTACTGATCATTTTATGGTAGGAATGCCTTTGATGTAGGAGATAGACACTAACATTTAAGGCAAAGTTTTACGTGACTGTACTTAATTCTGAAAAGTTTTTTTTCCTTTTTTTGTGGTACTGGGGATTGAACTCAGGACCTTGCACTTGCCAGGCAAGTGCTTACTCTACTGAGCTACCTCTCCAGCCCCTTAACTGTTTTGCAGAAAAAGTCTGTGTGTCCAGAGAAGGATGAATATGTTCATTAAAGACAAATAAGGGCTGGTAACAAGAAACCTTTATATGGAAAGTAGTAGATTAAAAACCAACAAAACCCTTAATGTTTAATTTGGATTTAAAGAAGGACAGAATCTAGGGTAGTAAGGAAAAGGGATGTTTTTAAAAAGAGTAACAATAGATGGAAAACACTGCTTTGGTAGAAAACAGATGCAAGGAAGAAGGAAGAAATGGAAAACTGCTATTTTGGGAACACTTAATCACTGGCCAGCATCTCAGCATCTGAACCAGCTCTTATAACACTTATTTCTATTTGTTTTGTGACAGACAAGGAAGATAACTTGCTCAAGGTTGTAAGAACTAGTGAAAGGTGGGGCCAGAATTGATGTGCTGTTTGCTCTTGCTAACACACTATACAGGCATGCCTATTACTCTGTACTATGACTAAGAAAACTGTTAAATTGTGGGAGCACATTTTGTGGCCAATCTGCAAAATTTGCAAAACACACCTCTACTTAACAGTGACAAAACTTGAGTTTCTCAAAATAAATGTTAATGAAGTAGAAGGAAAAACTACCATGATCATTAATTTTAATACTCTGAAAATTTTATCTCACAGCTATTTATTTTAACAAATTCAATATTTCAAACTATCAAATATAAAATTAACTGTAATTTGCAAGAAAAAAAAAAGACCGACTATAACATAGTTCAGAGGAAATATTGAGCTAAAAACAGAGAAGTGCAATACATTTTTTAAAAAAACTACAAAAATGTAGAACTGTTTTAACAAGTTAGTCCAAATGATACTTAAAACAGACTACATATATTTTTAGCAAACACAACTCCAGCTTACCTTTTTAACAGGTGATGTAGGTGTTGCCTGACTGGATGATAGCGTAGGTGTTGTAATAGCTATAGGAGCTGCTTGTGTACTACAAGTGTTGGTATTGGTAACAGAAGCCATGGGTTTTGTCTTATCTATTAAAGAGAAAACAAAAAATTAAGAGTCAAGGTTCTACATGAATTTAGTTTTATGACTGTCTTTTCCTTTTAATACTCCTTTTCATAAATAGGTTTTTAAAGAAGTTTCTAGAAACATCTACGTATGTATGCAAATAGTACAGATTATCTGTACCTATTTTTTGAAATAAATAAATTTTATTTCAAAAAATAGGTACAGATAATCTGAAAGAAATGTAACAAAGCTTCTGAGAATAAAAGGCACACTTTGAATCTGACTTTTATTTTTAAAAATTATTTTAATTGAGAAACAGCAATGAGACAGTTTCAAAACAGGTTAGTAGGACAGTTACAATAATATATAACATATTGTTGTCTTCATAATATACCACCAAGTTTCTGTTATTCTTTTTCTTTTTTTTGGTACTGGGGATTGAACTCAGGACCTTACACTTGCCAGGCAGGTGCTTAAGCTACTCAGCTATCTCCCCAGCCCCTGACTTTTCTATTTTTAAGACTAGGAAACTATTTAAAATTAATTTTTGTTAGGAGCAGGGATCAAACTCAGGACCTTGTGCCTGCCAGGCAAGCACTTATTCTACTGAGCTATCTCCCCAGCCTAAAATTTAAAAATCTCAATTTGTAAATGCAACATAATTTAAAAAATTACAATAGCTATGCCATTTTCTAATGAATAAACAACTACTACTGCTGATTTAAAATCAACTGCTCTTTGTTTGAGGAAAGCTAGTGTTTTTGTCAACAATCAGTTTATATGCATGTCTAACATATATTCATATTAAATATCTCCAAGAACAAGCAGATTTTATCACTTTTAAAAGATCTAACATTAATAGGGCACAATAGTATCTTCCTAGAAAATATTCCAGGTGATTGAAGAATGTCATGCAATAAATATTCTTTGTCTCTGAATTTCAAATACAGTCCTAAACAACGGACATATGTCAGCCATTAAAAATGTCTAAACTAGATAAAACTTATAATCTAGAATTTGTACCTAGATGAAATATTACATAAGTTTAAGACTATTCAGCTTATTAAGTGAATGTTATCAGTATTATTGAAGCCCTGCCATTTGAGTTTCTCTTATATATTTGGCACAGGGTCTCACCACGCAGCTTGGCCTCGTAGTGATCCTTCTGTCCCCCCCCACCCCAGCTGATGGCTCTGTGCCCAAGGGGTGGGGCCAATGCAGCATGCGTGACCAGGGAGCAAACCCTGGTCCCTGCATTTGCCAAAGCAGGCACTTAGTCCACTGAGCTATCTCACCAGCCCCTCCATTTTGCTTTTAATTTAGTAGGAAAACTAAGTTCAACTGTAAAGGCAAAAATGTATCTTCCCTTTCTCATTGTCTTACTTCCTCAAATTTATAAATCTTTTAGAAGAAAATTAAAAGTTTTAACTGGATTCCTATTTTCACCTAGCTTCTGATGCTATCTAGCTTATGATATGTTGATTCATGGAACCAAACAATGTCAATGACGAAAAATTCAAATCTCTAAGTACCTAGAATCTAACCATTTGTATATTTCATAAATTTTTTGTGTATTGCAGAAAAATAATGTACTTGTTGGCTTAGTAAACTTTCAGAAAATAAGAGAACATTGAAGAAAAAACTGGTTTGGTAAATAACTTACAAAAGAAAATTCAGCAAACCAGTTATTTTACATCAAATATTTTCCTAAGGAAGTAACTTCACAATAAGAAAAAAAATGAATTATTTAGAAATTATAAAATCAAACTGCATCTACAGGGAAATGGCAGTGTTCACAAACTTGCCAAAGAAAATAAGTTAATTCTTGGTTGATATCAAAAGAGGGAAGAAACCATACAGCATTTAAACAAGTTAATAGTTGAGATAGTCAAATTTCTTGACATAACCAACTACTAGGAACAAGAACAAGAATAAAATTATTATGGCACAACACTTAGATGACCATTTAAAGTTAGCTTAATGAGATGTTGAGCAGAGGGTAACTGTTGGGTTTCCATTTCAAAAGGAACTAATATGATGCAATTTAATATATTTATAAAATTATTTGTAAATATACCAAAAGTTTATGAAGAACTCTCTAGATCATATAGTCCAATTCTTCTCATTTTAGTATTGGTATGAATATTTCAGTTAAAAAAAATGCCAGGACATTTAGTAGTCTGGGACAAGCTGGCCCAAGATCAGTCTTTTATTTGTTTTAAAATACCTCTTCAGTATCTAACACTGAATGGTGAATTCACTGAACAATAAGTAAAAGATCTATGAAGAAAATGATAACAGAAAATCAGAACTCTCTGAATGACATGCTTGTACTTCGGTTCTTTCAATTCTACCACATAGGGGGCCTGCCCCTTAGCTCAGTTCTTTAAGTGGCTGCTTCAACAAAGCAGTCAGGCTCAGGTTGCTGTGGTTTAATCCTCACAACTCAAGCCAGCCAAACCTGCCCTGAAGGCATTCAGACAAAAAAAAAAAAAAAAAAAAAAAAAAAAAAAAAAAAAAAAAAAAAATCAATTCTACCACATAATTAGACTTGATGTAAAAGTTAGGATACCTGAACGCTGGGCCTGGTTCTTGGGTACATGCATATAAGGGTTGAGGTACATGTAGGTTTTTAATCATATACAAGACTTTACTATACAGGAGGAGCCAAGGTACAATCAGCAGGGAGATTAAATACATAAAAATAACTGCTAAATACTTGCAAAAGCATGAAGACTATTTAAATATCAATGATACTATTTCACTTCCTAGTTTTTGTAAAGTGTACAAGAAACAGTATAAATTTAAATGAAGTAACATTAAGAATGTATACTGATAGTATTTATATCTTATCATCCTGATTTTACAAATAAGAAATAAGATTAAATTATCTGGATACAAAATTACTTTCATGATGTACTCTATGTTCTTAAAATACTATGCATGCTACTCTCATGTAATCTGCTTTCATAGTTATATCTTAATTAACATATTATACGCGTGCTTTATAATATTCACTGAATAGCTATTGATGATTCATTTTCACTTTATCTCACCAAGGAAATGGTATGTTGATTCATGGAACTAAATGATGTAATACCAATGAGGAAAAAAATTAAATCTCTAACTGGAACCTAGCTACTTATATATTTCATAAACTCTTTGTGTGTTAAAGAAAAATAATTTTCTTGCTGGCTTAGTAAACTTTTAGAAAATAAAATATATCCAAAACACATCATGTAGGCAACAGAGATAGCTTACATCTGTTTAACATCTTATTTTTAAAACAATTATTTGAAAAACCCCAAACAATTATTGGTATATTCTTGTGTGTGTGTGTGTGTGTGTGTGTGTGTGTGTGTGTGTAACCAGGGATTGAACTCAGGCCCTTGCACTTGCCAGGCAAGTGCTTATTCTTTGCTATACATTTTATAAACCACAGCTACTCGCATTTCCTCAGAGGAATTATTTTGCTGAGTAGAAATGAAATGATTTGAAAGTACTGTTGTATCTAGAAGAAACAAACATAACGATTCCAAGAAACTGTATCGCTCCATTTGTATTTACCAATGTCTGTCTGTCTGTCTGTCTGTCTGTCTGTCTGTCTGTCTGTCTGTCTGTCTCTCTCTTAATATACTTTAGGGAAGGGTCTACAGGGCGTTCAGTGTCCCACTACTAGATCAGACTCACAATGATCTGCCTGTTCACAGCCTCCCACAACCAT